CAGTGGCCCCTTTGGTGGAACAATCCTGTCACAGGGGTTGTGTATCAGGTATCCTGCATATCAGATATTTACATTACGACTCATAACAGTAGCAAAATTACAGTTATGAAGTAGCAGTGAAATAACTTTATGGTTGGGGGATGCCAGGACATGGGAAATTGCATGAAAGGGTTGAAGCATTAGGAAGGTTAAGAACCACTGCTCTAAAGTATTCCATTTCAGAAGTGTTTAAGTGTCTCTTAGTTTCAGCCAGATATTTTTCTTTTTAAAATTTATAGAACGGCATGACTTTGTAAATTTGGCCAATCAGGAGAAAATAGGCCAGCGTTTATGAACTGTGTCCCAGTTACTATCTCTGGCGTGTGGTTAGAATTGTATGAGTAAGCTGTTGGTGGAATAGCAAGTGTGCTCAAGAATTCCCATGTCCTGGAACACATGGTTGATCTGGACATGAGAATACTGCTGATGCTTCTGAGCCCTTGTCCATAGGGCTTGTATTGCTAACTCTCATGGGGAATGAATATATGTTCGTAGTTTAATCACACTCTTAATCTAATTAAGCTCAGTGCCCCAATGTCTCATAAAAGAGTGGCTGTGATGAGAAATACATGAAAAAATGGGTTAGAGTTATAAATTGTTAAGACAGCAAATAAGTTTAAAAACTGAAAGTCATTGAACTATCACATGTGTATATGTATAATTACCTGCTGCTTTTCTAGCAACATGCATTGTCTTCTGGGCCTGAACAACTATAGTTAATGTGAAATAAGTGCTCATTTGCCAAGCATCTTATTGTACTCTCTTTAATCCTTAATACAACTTAGAAGAATAGTAGACATCATTATCTTTTTTTTTTTTTTTTTTGGTTTTTTGAGACAGGGTTTCTCTGAGTAGCCTTAGCTGTCTTGGAACTCACTCTGTAGACCAGGCTGGCCTCACTCTCACAGAGACCGAGATCTGCCTTTTTTCTGCCTCCTGAGTATTGGGATTAAAGGTGTGTGTCACCACCACCTGGCATTATCTCCATTTTTTAAAAGAAATAAAGGCTTAGAAATTTGAATGACTTTTCCCTAGATCACAAAGAGCCCAAGAGAAGGGTCATGAATGAGAGACTCACTTGTTCTCACACTTAGGAATTCCATAAGATGCTGAATTGGAAGCCATCATATATACTCACAGGACCTGGTGTAGGCCCTGTGCATGTTGGCTCCGTCTCTGTGAGTTTGTATGGCCTTGCTCATACTGATTTAGAGAACTTTTTTTTTTTTTAATGTTATCTCCTCTGGCTCTTACTCTTTCTATCTTCTCTTCTATTGAGTTTCCTGATCTATGAGGGGAAGAATTTGATGGAGACCTTCCCATTTAGGGCCGAGTGATCCAAGGTCTCTCTCTGCATAATATCTACCTCTGGGCCTCTGTATTTGAAAACATAGCATTTGATGGGCAGAAAAATTCTCTATTGAGTGATTATTTGAACAGTTGTTTAGACATAATTCAGTAGGATTACGAAGAGGGATTTAAAGTAATGTTACAGCATATTTGTTGCAAATTCAGCTGAGCAATCTTAGACACAGGCAGTACCAACAGAGTGATTGGTATGGAATGTGAGACTTGCACCTACTAGGAATTTTGATGTTAAGATTTTATTACTGATTGAATTCAGAAAAAGGAGAAAGACAAGTTCTAGGTGATCCTAAAGTTTGGGCACCACAGGATTATAGTATTGGTAGATATATTATCAAAAGCATGGAATGGAAAAGCTGATCTACTTTGTTCATGGGTATCACCAAGTTTTAGAATTTTAGCTAAGCGTGATCCACTGGAGATGTGTTAGGAGCCAAAACCAACAAGATGCAGTTTTCACAGGGATAAATGTAAATTCCTACATTTAGGTTAAGAGAGGAATTCATTGCACAAGTCCAGGATGTGGGTTATATGCTTGACAGTTAACATAGGCTTGTTGTTGTTATTTTTGGCCATGCAGAGGGTGGTTTATGCACAAGTAATGTGCCTCATTGTCAATAATATATGACATGTTAGACTACATTAATGAAAGTGTACTCATCTGCCAAAGATTCCACCATGCCCAGCATTTGTGTTGTGAATTAATTGTCTTTTTCATACTAGGCACTAGTGTTCTGACAGGAGCACTCACAGTGATTAGAAAGTGGTCAGTGTGGTCAAAGGGTCTGGAAATTATGTCCTAAGGAAAATAAATGGTTAAGGGAAAGATGGATCAAATTCAGAGAGTATGATAACAATTCTTCAACATATTTAAATATTATGTAAGAGGAATGGGAGTGAAACTATTGTTTATGGTTGCTGTGGGAAGAAGTGGGAAAGAGGTACAGAGAGCTAGAACTTAATTATAAAAAACGTAATAGACGGCCAGAGAGATAGTTCAACAAGTGAAGGTGCTTGCCACTAAGGCTGACAGCCCAAATCCCTGTGATTCATGTAGTAGAAGGAGAGAAATGACTCCAGCTAGTTCTCCTATAACTTCCACAATGATGCTGTGGCATGTGGACCCTCCTCAGATTAAATTTAATATACAATTAAAAACAATGGATGGAAGATAGACATTAAAGACAAAAGACCTACCTGTTGCATGTTGTGTTCACCAGGAAGATGTATAATGCTCACTTGCATTTATGGTAACTAGGTGGCTTATACAAGTTCTTTCTAATTGTTACATGCACTAATTTCTACATCATGTGCTAACAAGAAATGTGCATTTGGCAATGCTGTCACTTGGGGTTTGGAACCATATCGAACTGCTGAGAGAATACCAGTAGAACTTCCTTCTGGAGATAGTTATTGAAATAATGCAAGCCAAAGAACTTAAAATTGTTTGCCTAAAATTCCTCCTTAGAAACCATATGTACCAAGCACTCAGGAGGCAGAGGCAGGCAGATCTCTGTGAGTTCAAGACCAGCCTGGTCTACAAGAGCTAGTTCCAGGACAGCCTCCAAAGCCACAGAGAAACCCTGTCTGGAAAAAGCAAAAGAAAGAAACCATATATAACTGGTATGTTACCAAAACCCTTGCTAGGATCAGTTTTGTCAAGGAACCCCCAATTTTTCATCTCAGACAACTCCTTTGCAAAGTGACTTCCCCAATGTCCCTAATCCAGCTCTGAGTTACTCAGCATCTCATTACTGTATTTCCTTCTTATTTAACAGTTAATACTAACAGAAATAAATTATTTTTGAACTTGTTGTTTGTCCTACTTCCCAACATTAGATTGTAAGAGTTCTTGAGTGTCTTATTCATGACAACACTGCTATCATCCAAGACAGTGACAAGTAGTAATAAATCCAAAATAAATAGAAGTAATGAAACATCTAGGTGGGGAGGAATTTTTCAACCATAATGCAATCCTTGACTTAGTCTTTGGAATTTTATATAAATTTTGATAATTTATGCTGAACCTTAGCATATTTTCACGGAGACAGAGTATGTTCCTTGCTGCCCATCATTTAGGAGATGGTTACAGATTTAAAAACAACTAATGTCCTTTTGGGCAGGCATGGTGGTGCACACATGTAATCATAGATATGGGAAGCTGATGCTGGAGGATTGTGACCAACCTGCTCTACATTTTTATGAGCCAGTCTTGAATGGTGACTTACCTCCTTTTTAATCCCATTACTTGAGAAGCTGAGATAATGGATCACTATGAGTTTGAGACCATCCTGGTCTACTTAGTGAGTTCCAGGCCAGTCAGGGCTAAACAGTGAAATTCTGTCTCAAATAACAATGAAACAATAATAATTTTTAAAAGTCTTTGAGCACAGCTGGGCGTTGGTGGCACACGCCTTTAATCCCAGTACTTGGGAGGCAGAAGCAGGCGGATCTCTGT